ATAAATCTTAACATCCATGACTGTCCTAACTTCATCCATCCACTCATAAATCTTAACATCCATGACTGTCCTAACTTCATCGATCCACTTATAAATCTTAACATCCATGACTTTCAAATTCACATTATCTCCCAACTTCATCGATCCACTCATAAATCTTAACATCCATGACTTTCAAATTCATATTATCTCCTAACTTCATCCATTCACTCATAAATCATCAACATCCATGACTTTCAAATTCACAGCTTCGGGCCAAATTCAAGTTCGTCCCAGAAGAAGAAGAGGAATTGAGCTTCGAGAAAGGGGACATCATCACAGTCCTTGCCAAAGAGGAAGAGAACTGGTGGCGTGGATCGTGCAATGGGCGTGAGGGGGTGTTCCCACATTCGTATTGCGAACCCGTCTGATGGACCGATCGATCAATCGCACTGTGTTTGGGGCTTTGCGGTGCATTTGGCAGGAAGAGATTTTTGAATTGGTTTGGAATATATTTATGAGAGTTTTATGAAAGGTTTTATCGCAAATCGGGATCGGGTTTCACGGCAAAGTGGATGCTAATGTGGAATTTCTTAGCGTCTCGGTTTTTACGCAAGTGGAGCAGGCAAGAATACTTGTTTGCCTGAGGCTGTTGGTGTATTTGCAAACGAACAGAGGGGTGTGTGACGAGCTGTCCCGACGGGGCAAACGGCCTTTTCCGGAAACTTAATATATACTTTAGAATCGCGGTTGTATATCAACATATGGATTTATACATCTGTACAATTTGTAAATTAAAGGCGGTTCTTTAATCCCTATATATACAATAAAAGACGGTTCTTGAATCCCTATATCAAGAGACCTAAGAACAGTTCAAGGTCAAACGTGTACTCAACAGTTCTTTTCTTGCATGATTACAAATGCGCACGGGATTGTGACGAGGTCAGCCCTGCCACCTTTGAAGTCAACTCCCTTTACTTTCAGTAAAGAACACATTTATCTGTACATTCTTTACCTTCAGCATTAACTTTACATTCTTTACCTTCAGTATTATCTATACATTCTGTACCTTCAATAGAGAACACATTGTCTATACATTCTGTACCTTCAGTATTATCTATACATTCTTTATTATCAGTATTATCTATACTTTCTTTACCTTCAAGAAAGAACACATTTATCTATACATTCTTTACCTTCAGTAAAGAAAACATTTATCTATACGTTCGCTTATCTAAATCTGGTGTCATTGGCTCTGCGTTGTATTTCTTTGTGCCCCCAAGTCGATGTCGTGTATAGTGTGCCCTCGTTTGGCGATGACAATATACGTCAGCATCGCTGCGTCGAAATCTGTATCCCAAAGAAAAAGGACGAAGGCCAGGCAGAATGAGACAGGGAATGTAAGAAATACGATACGTTGGAGAAAAAGCCGGATATACGGACTCAGATAATTTCCGAGGGGGAATTAGTCGGTCAAAGTAAAACTCACTTGGGTTTGCACATGGTCTTATCGAGAGTCTGTAATCCGAGGCAAAACGCACGATTTACTCGCGGGGTGAATGAGAACACATTCACTCGGGCTATAGGTCTAACAGTCGAAACCTAAGATAACCCTAATAGAATGCATGTCTTGGTCAACGATTGCACGGCCCATACCGAAAGCCAACTGCATCAGGCACGACGCGAGGCTCCTCCAGCGGGTGTCTTGATTTTCCCTGCGCGAAAGAGTTGCACATATTGAGATTCGTATATACGGTTTTACATTAATATAAATACCTATTACAACTCTACAAGCATGTATATCTGCAACACCACAACTTTCGAAATCCTTGCGTGTTGCATGAAGCGTACTTCCGAAATAGTAACAAAAATGCTTTGTATGTGCAAAAGTGTGTATATATTAAGAAATATACACTCAATACAGATTTCTATAGCTTGATGTATGCCCAGCACAAATATTCAGAATCCCTTCGCATCACAGGTGCATACATGTGCGTTAAGCGACCACGATCAACTCACGGTACCACCACCCACACGCTACATAAACAAACAACATCCGTCCTGTACACTTTGGGTGGTTGGTGGTATGCATGCGGACGTGGTCGCTGACGATCAACTCACGATACCACCACCCACACGCTACATAAACAAACAACATCCGTCCCGTGCACTTTGGGTGGTTGGTGGTAT